GATAAGATTTTAAATTAGTATTTTATTAATGGTTGATAATTAGAAAATAAAACAAGGATAAATACATTTTTTGAATTTTATATCTTAGATTTAAGATGAATAAATATATTAAGTTAATTAATAATTTATTTAAAATGTTAAAATTTAATTTATAAAAATAATATTTTAAAATAGAAGGTTATAATAACACCGATTGAAATTTTATTAAGTATTACATCGCTCAACAACTTTATATTAAATGTGAGTTTTATAAATTCAACCATTAGATTGAAAATTTTTTACTCTTAGATCATATATACAAAATTTTATATGAATTCAAGATGATTTGATACTTCATTCTTGTAAAACAAAATTGACGTAATATATACATTTCAAAATATACTAAAATATGAGCACTTTCATTATCTTCAAGTTGTTGTTCAAGTTTAACAAAACTTGATATAAACATATAAAGTTATATGAAATTTCAATCTAACAGTTGGATTTACAAAATTCACATTTAATATAAAGTTATTGAACGGTGTAATACTTAGTAAAAGTTATATCAGTGTTATTATAACCCTTCTCATTTTAAAATATATAAATTATTATTTAAACTTTTAAATTTATAATAAATAATTTAAATTGTATCACAATATTAATTTTAAATAGAAATAAGTAGATTGTTAATTATAAAAATAATTATATATAAATAAAGATTAATTAAATATAATATAATTATTATTAGTAATATAATTATTATATATATTATTATATATTTATAACGGTCCGGACACACCGAAATGAGAAAGATCCAAAAATAGTATAAGTATGAGATTATATAGTTGAGGATGACTTAAATGAATTAATTTGTACTACATATACTAACAACATGCATCTATTTTTTGGTAGCTTATCTTATCAGAACTCCACAGTTAAGTGTGCTTGACTTGGAGTAATATAGGGATGAGTGACCTTTTAGGTAAGTTTCCCAGAAACTGTGTAATTAAGGAAAAAAAACATCCTGAAAAGTGAAGTATTGTGAAATAGAATCCTTGAGAGGCCAAATATGAGTAATTCGTAGTGACCGAATTTACGACATCTATAAAATTTAATAAAATAAAAAATAAACATTTAGTGACCGATTTATTTGGTCACTAATTTGGTTCCTATACTCATCAGCGACCAAAATCATTGCAACCATTTTGCGACCGAAATTTTCAGTCGCTAAACAACGACCAAAATTTTTTCCGTCGCTATATAGCTTTGTGACTACTTAAATTCGGTCGCTAAGATAAATAGCGGCCGATTTTAGCAATTTAGCGACCAATTTTGGTAGTCGCTAAATGTCATATTTTTTGTTGTGATAAGTCCAATAGTGTTGAGAGTGAAGGTGATGTATTAGGAAAAAGGTTGAACTTCGCCTATTCTAAATCCTTTAAAAGAGGCACACATCATTTATCCACGCATAAGTTCAATATAGTGTTGCACTACAAGAAATATTGATATCCATAGAAAATTTGTTGGTAATAATACCCATAAAAATTTTTAAAAATTTCAATAGTCATAAATTTATTGAAAAATTTTGCAAGTAAATTTTGTTTATCTACATATTCTGAATTTGTCGGTAATATCATTTTTCTAATGCATTTATCATTTGAAAAATATTCGTCAATAATAAGCATATTTTTGTAATGTTGATCATGACTGAATTAGAAAAAAAATTCAAATTTCACATCAACTAGAAATAAAGTCAATTAAGTATATATAAGTGAAAAATATTAATTCTCATTTTCTTAATCAATTTTATAGGATTGAACTAAACTCAAACTCACAATACTTTACCAAGAGTTAGAACACCTATCATGATGATTCAGGTATAAATTGTCATGTTTTATTAGTGAAAAGATTTTAACATTGTTTTTAAAAAATCATTTTTTTAATATAACTTTATTTTTTACATCATTCAATATAACTTTTAAGATGATTATTATAAACCATAACAATTTACTAGTTCATAATTTATTTACCGTAAAAAAAAAGCTTTACATATTCAGCATTTTAATGAATAAAAAATATAAATGAATAATTAAAGAATTTTACAATATTTTTCGCATTGGGTATAAGAGAATGACAAAACAACCTCTATCTTTGGTTGCCGTACAAAGGGCCACAACTATCCAGTTCATTTGTCTTTTCTTAATTATAGAACAAATATCATCCACCCATATGCAATCTCAATCGACGTACGGATATGACCAGCCTCAAACATAATTCTGATTCACAAATATTTATTTCAGTGATAATTAATACCGTCCAGTAATGGAAGAAAGGGACATTTTAACGTTTTCTAAAATTAGCATAACCTTTATAGAGTAAACCGTCATTTGTATTCTCAAGAGTAACGAGCATTGTCACATTAATCTATATAAAACTACGAAAATATTAAATATTTTACTTGTTCTCAATTCAACAAATTGAATATCATTAATTATTCAATTCTGATTAATATTTTCTCTATTTTTTTTAATAGTTAATATTATTTTTTTTATTTTTTTATTATTATTTTTCTAAAATTAATGACTTATTAAATATTTTTTATATTTTTATTCTTGATAATTAATATGTGTTTATTGAACAATGTATTTATTCATTTTTCAATTCACCTATTTCTTCTCCAATCACCTGAAAGATATAGCAGAAAAATAAATAATAAATACTTTAAAAAATTAAAATATTAATCATTTTCTTAATTCTTATATATAACCTTAAATATTAAAAAAAAATGGAAAGAGTATTGATTTTTAGTTTAAGGATTCCAACATATCATTAGTTCCCATCTCCAGTATCTACCATTTTTAATATATCCACACACAAGAAAAAAATGTTTATATACTCTCTCTATTTTTTTATTTAAAAATTAAAAAATAATTGATATTTTAATTTTTTAAAATATTTATTATTTATTTTTTTATTATATCCTTTAGGTGATTATATTAAAAATGAATAAACACATTAATTAGTAAATATACATTAATTATAAAAAAAATTAATAAATCATTGATTTTAAAAAATTGACAATAAAAAAAATAATTGTAAAATGACTATAAATAAAAAATGAAAAAAGTATTTTGTTATAAACCAAAAAACTATTGTACATAATGATTATATGGAGAATGGTTCGAAGTTGGAACCCTTGCTAGTTAACTACCGTTCAAAAATTATTGATTAAAATCCTTATTTGATTTTTTATAATATTTTTTTTTTCAATTTAGTCTTATTTTAATTTTTTGTTTTAATTTGATCCTCAATAATTTAAATTATTGTAATTTGGGACTTCCGTCTAAATGATTTAAATGGAGTTAATTGTTGGCCACGTGGATGCCAGGTGGATACAACGTAGATGCGTAGGTGGATGTCAAATTTCTTGAATACACCTGGAACCAGAACGGCCAGTTCTGAAACCAGAACGGCCCGTTCTGGTTTCACTCTTGGTGTGTTAATTTTGTACCTGGAACGGGCCGTTCTGGTTTCAAAATGGCCCGTTCTGCTACACTCATGGTGTGTTAAATTTACATTTGGAACGGCCCATTCCAGTTGTAAAATTAACGAATAATATGTGCAAGCAGAAAGGGCCGTTCTGATTTCAGAACGGACCGTTCTGGTTCCAGGTATATTCATGAAATTTGGAATCCACCTATGCATCTAGGTGACATTCACCTGGCATCCATGTAGCTAACAATTAACTCCGTTTAAATTATTTAGATGAAAGTCCCAAATTGTAATAATTTAAATTATTGGAAACCAAACTGAAACTAAAAATTAAAATAGAACTAAATTAAAATAAAAAATTATTATAAAGACCAAATAAAAGTTTTAACCAAAATTATTCGTTATAAAAGAATGGAGCAGACTCTGAAATAATCAACAAAAACCCATCCAAATACAACATGAGGGTGCCTACTGTGTTGGTTTTGCCATTTCCTGCTCAAGGGCATGTGAATCCCATGGCAATCCTCTCGCAAAAGTTGGTTGAGCATGGATGCAGAGTCATTTTTGTGAACACAGACTTCAACCACACGCGAGTGGTGAGCTCCATGGCGAAGCAACAACACAGCATTGATGAGTCACAAATCAAGCTGGTCTCAGTCCCCGATGGGTTAGAACCCGATGATGACAGACATGATTTTGTAAAGGTGTGCGAAGCTACTATAAGCACCATGCCTACGTCACTTGAGAAGCTGATAGAGGATATTCATGGGAAAGGTGAAGATAGAATCAGCTTCATTGTCGCAGATTTTTGCATGGCATGGGCGATGGACGTTGCTGCTAAATTAGGAATCAAAGGAGCTATTTTCTGGCCTGCATCAGCAGCAGTGTTTGCCACCATGTACAACATTCCCAAGCTTATTGATGATGGGGTTATAAATTCTGATGGTAACAATATCCTACTATATACTTGCACTTTAACTCCCAGTTCATATATTATTAAAGTGTCCATATAAATTATGATGAGACATTAAATATATTATTAAATTTTATTTAAAATTAATATTAAAATTGTGTATAATTATATATCAAATTAATAGATACATATCTATATATTTTATACTTAATTATAGTCGAGAGTGAAGGCACTTATTCCTACTACTATTTGACACATACATATTTTTTATTTAAAAAATAATATATTTTAAAAAATAAAAACTAAATTATAATATATATATATATATATATATATATAAATTATTTTTTGTAAATAAATTCGTAAAAAAAATTTACAAAATTATTATTATAAAAAAATTCGCAAAAAAAAATCTGCAAATATTTTTTTGTAAAAATATTTGTGAAAAAAAGATAATTTTCTAATAGTGACACATTTTGTGTGTCCTAATACTTAGTGTATCTTTTTATGAAAGAAAATTTTGTTTTATTTCTTCTTTTAAAATTTTGAGACTTTCCTGTTGCATGGTTCTAAATTGTCTCGTAATACGTTATGTGAGTTGATAGTCTTTTGCTTGAGAACAGCAATTGTGATTGTGACTGTATTTTTTTCTTCTATTAATAGGAAGATAACATCAATGTTAATGAGAATTAAACTAAAGAGTTAATTTCAAATGATGTAACACTTCTAACTGACTTAAAACTTTTGTAGATAGATAATTTATTAGTACATATATAAATATGTTCATCGAATTTAAGAACCTGTCCTAATCTTGGTGGGCTATAAACATCCAATTTATCAAAACTTTTCTTTAAAAAAAAATAAATATCAAACTAAAGAGTTTAAGTTAAGCATTTCTCCACACCTCTACCGCCGCCTGACCGGTGATTTGCATATGACAATTCAAAACTATGCTTTCTTGTTTTATATTTTTAATTTATTTTTTAATATTTTATATGTTCCTCTTAAATTAAAGAGAAATGATAATAAATGTTATGACTATATATATTTGAATTTTTTTTATTAAAGTCATGCGAGTTTTTTTAAGTCTCGTGATATTTTCAAGTAATTATATGACTTTAAATAATTATTTATATATATAGTTACAATAAAATTCAACAATGTTCAACTTTATTTCATGATAACTCATTTTAGTCTAAAATTATATATACTGTGAAGCTTAAATGATAATATTAACATATATTAAGAGACTAAAATGATCATATAAGTAGATAATTTTATAGACTTAGTTAGGTAAGATAAATTATATTTTTAGGAATTTTTTTTATTGAATGTCAAATTTAACTATAATTTAAGGGACTAAATTGTTCATTAGTCTCTATTGTTATCCTATCTTTATATTTTCAAAGATATATCACATATATTTACATTAAATTAAATTTATCTAATGAAGTATTAAATGATTTTAAAATTTTAATTTTTTTTAAACTTAGTGTATTCAATAAAAGTATTTAGTTTAGTGATTAATTAATAGGGAAAAAAGTATTATCCATATTCTCTATATCATTCTCTTTTTAACACTTTCTTCATTATTAACTCAAATTTGTTTAAATTTATAAATTTTCATGAGTGTCATGTCTCATTTAACGAATATCTTTCCTAATCTAGTGGTAAAACCCACTAAAATTTGTAATTTTCCAATTTTTTTTTTTAAAATTGAAATAACTTTACTAATTAAGAACTAGTCTCCTATAATAAATAACTTGATCTCTCATTTATTTATGCCTTTCTCAATACAAAAATAGTGTGGATGTGAAAAAACATACAAATAAACATCATCGTATATCACAAGTAAAATTTTATGTTGTATTTTCAAGGTATGAAACAGGATTAATATCATATTCCTATGCTTGGTACAAGTATTGAAAAAACAATATAAGGAATAAGAATATAAAATATATACATTTACTCCCTCTAGATTGGCATATAAGCAAAAAGAAAGTATCTAAAATTTTTAACTTAAATGTTAATAAATTGTAACTAGATCTTATTTAATGTTATATATCATTTCAAAAATACTCTTTAAATTAAATGATAATTAATTTTTTTAATATGTGTAAATTTAAGTATTTTTGTTTATATATAAGTTCAGATAGATTACCCTACTTTATGTTTCCATGATAAAAAAATATGTATCTTATAGTATTTAATTAAATTACCTATTAGAGTAAATATAATAAGTATAAAATGGAAAATAAATATATTATATGATATTTTTATATATTTTAATTCAATTTTATTGATAAAATATATTTTGGGTAATTATAATTTTAGTTTGATAATTAATTTTAAACTCTTGAAATTTTTATTTATAGATTAATTATTTTAATTACATTTTTTAGTTTCAATTATTCTTTCTTTATATTATGCATTTGACTATTAATCTTATATTTTCCGACCAACTTTAAAATTAAATAAATTGACATGATCCTAGGTATCTTACCTTGTAAACCAAAAAAAAAAAAAATTAATGTGTATTTTAAATAAGTAAGGAAGTAATTGTATGGATAGGAAAAACAGAGAATTGAACGCAGTCTCACAAAATTTAATGTAATGTCAAGTAATTAATTAACTCCTAATTAATTTTTCAACGCAGGATCAATGTTAACCACTACAAAAACAATTCAACTATCACCAGGAATGCTTGAGATGGACGCGGGAGCCCTTTTCTGGTTGAAGATGGGTGACACGGTAAATTTTAAGCCAATATTTGATTATATGGTGCGTTGTGTACAAAGTTTAAATTTGGCAGAAGAGTGGCTTTGTGACACTACGTATGAACTTGAACCTAGAGTATTAACTTATTTCCCAAAGATCCTCTCAATTGGTCCATTGTTGAGAAGTTATGACAATACAAATGCAACATCAAGATCATTGGGACAATTTTGGGAGGAAGATCTCTCCTGCATGAAATGGCTTGATCAACAACCTCATGGTTCGGTCACGTATGTTGCCTTTGGTAGTATTACTCTTTTTGACCAAAACCAATTCAATGAACTAGCTCTTGGACTAGACCTCACCAATAGACCTTTTCTTTGGGTTGTGCGTCAAGACAATAAGTTGACATACCCTTCTGAATTCCAAGGGCATAAAGGTAAGATAGTTGCATGGGCCCCTCAACAAAAGGTGTTAAACCATCCTGCCATATCTTGCTTTATCACCCATTGCGGTTGGAATTCGACTATGGAAGGTTTGTCTAATGGGGTGCCCTTCTTGTGTTGGCCATATTTTGCTGAACAAATTTATAACAAAAGTTACATTTGTGATGAGCTGAAAGTTAGACTGGAATTGAAACCAAATGAAAATAAACTTGTGTCTCAGTGGGAGATTAAGAAGAAATTGAACCAACTACTTAGTGATGAACAAATGAGAGCAAGGTCTCTAGAACTGAAGGAGATAGTTGTGAAAAACGTTTCTGATCAAGGCAGTGGATCATCAAACAATATTAGAAGATTTGTTAAATGGTTGAAATCTTAAAAGTAAGCGTTTGTAAAATCATAAGCCTCTATAGTTTGTTTTTTTCGATCTTGAACTGTTCAAATGTGACTTGATTTTCTATTATTGGATTTTTATTTTGTGTTTTTCAAGCTTTGTTTATTGTCTAATTTTGAGGCAAGGAACAATTGTTGGTTTGTGTAATGAAGCATAATATTTATGTTAACGAGGTGTTTGCTCTTGATATTGAACTTCTCAAATCTCGGAAGCTACTATTATGTCATGGCATTTTCTTTTGTGCAAGTTCTGTTTAAGGAGTATCAAAACTTTTTGTGACTAGGACCACATAAATAATGACATGTGTTAATTTTGTCAAAACTTATATTTTTTAAGAATGTTTTAATATTTGTTATTTAATCCTCATTAATTTATAACCTTTTAAATAATAGCCTCCGACCTATTTAAATATGTTTTATATTCTTCATCTCTCTACCCATTTCATTTTTATTTTTCCTCTTCTCTCTGGCACATCTCTGGCTCCAGCACCGACACCATCTACGCCAACTTCACCTCTCTCAACATCTCCCTCCGCAACTCCGGCTCCACCATGTCGGTGCCGTCGCACTATTTTCGTGGGATTTACTTCAACCCGCAGCCCAGCTAAGAAACCGCACGGAGTGGGACCGGAACATGAGCATGGTGATGGAGGATTCTCGTAGGAGCATGTTAGAGAACAGTTCTTCCATCTCTGCGATTTTGAATTTCAACCCTATGGGCAATGTGAATGTAATTCAACAAGCAAAGCAGGAGCTTCGGCGGCGGCGGTCTTGAATCAGTGGCTTCAGATTCCGATGGAGGCTTAGGGAGAAAGGAAAAATGAAAATAAAACGGGTAGGGAGATGAAGAAGATAAAACATATTTAAATAGGCCGGAGGCTATTATTTAAAAGATTATAAATTAATGAGGATTAAATAACAAATATTAAAATATTCTTAAAAAAATATAAGTTCTGACAAAATTAACACATATTATCGTTTATGTGATCCTAGTCACAGAGGGTTTTGGTACCCCTAAACAAAACTTGCACCAAAAGAAATGCCTTATGTCATTATGTGTCGTTACAATTACATATTTAAATTTGTACTTTGACAGTTGAATCAACGGAATGGGATAAGAAAATTGGATATATGAAAGATGGTCAACAATGGGATACAAGAGAGTGGGGACCATGGTGTTGGGCGGTAGAGTCCTTGAGAGCAATGATGTTCTCTACTTCGACAACATTGTGAGCTAATGAGGTCACTCTTAATGTGAAAACTCCAAGAGTACAAATTACACTCTTTTACTCAGTTGCTAAGCGTGGAGGTTATCATGTTGGACATGAGAGCTCTTTGTGGAGGTTACCATGTTGGACATGAGAGCTCTTTGTGACTATGACACTTACGTGGGTATAGTCACGTCGAGCGAGGGGCCTCCAAATTGCAAAGGTTGCTCTTTGTGAGAGTGGTGTTCCTTGGCCTTTTGGCCATAATAAATAAAAAAAATAAAAATTATTGAAATTAATTAATTAAAAAATATTTTGTTAAAATAAATTATTTTGGACACGTAAGATTACATAGAATGAAAAAAATGTCACACTACACGTTCAATACATGATACAAACAACTTGAAAACGTCAAACTATTTGACGTTCTGACCATAAATTTTTAAAGTTAAAAACGTCATGCTCGTTGACGTTTTCTTTATAGTTTTGTGGTGCCTAATATTTAGAAAGGAAAGTTTTCAGCCATCGTAATATTTAACAATTTTGGTTGAAGGCATTGTACGCAGGTCTCATTTTCCAAGTGTGGCTCACAATAAATTTGGGAAGGAAAATGATTTTTACATGTGCATTGTCCTTTTTTATCTGTTGGTCATAGTACAAACCTTATTTTTATATTTTTCCTCTCACAACCTGCCTCTTTTCTCTCTCATATATTTATGAAAGTCAATTATTTATTAATTATGGTAGACAAGTGAATTTTACCGGCTGTAAAACTATAAAGAAAATGTCAACGAGCATGACGTTTTTAATTTTTAAAATTTATGCACAAAACGTCAAATAATTTGACATTTTCAAGTTGCTTGTATCATGTATTGAACGTGTCATATAGTGTGACATTTTCTTCATTCTCTATAATTTTACGTGTCTAAAATAATTTATTTTGGTAATATGTTTTTTAATTAATTTATTTCAATAATTTTTTATTTTTTTTTATTTATTATGGCCAAAAGGCCCAATTCCTTGAACATCAATATTATTTAATGTTGTAAGATTGCTTAAGAAATTGGTGAAATTAGTTGGTGTAGATGTTGATCTTGTAATGGTTATACTTGATGTATTATTATATGATGTTGTGGTTATGACACCTTTACCATGTTCATCAATTCTCATAATAATTAATAAATAAACTCTAATTGCTCTAAAGAAAACTTTAATATAAAAAGAAAATTGTTTTGATAGAAAAAGTCACATCCATCCAAACTTGAAAACATATACTTAAACAAAAGAAATATGGAATTTAACAAAATAACTTCATGATTAATAAGAAACTACTACAACTCCAAAAATAATTACATGATTCATAAATATAATAAAGAACTCAAAGTAATAAAAATCTTAATCTAAGACCCTTTTGTCACACCCTATCAAAGTTTGACCCATAACACATCAAATGCACATGTCTCTTTACCAATATCATCCTCATGATGATCTTCACTTACAAAACACATGTAGGAACACAACAATAATAACAAAAGAGTGTGAGAAATGTCTCACTTTGACTACCAATGTAAGATATAATCGAGCAACCACACACATCAATCATAACATAAGCATAAGTATATGTAACAAAAGTATTAATATATATATATATATATATATATA